CAATAAAACTATATAGGTATAACTGTAAAGAAAAGGCAATAATCCATAAAATTTATTAGATACTATATAAGATTACCTGGCGTCACAGTTAAATAATTTGTATAGTTAGGTACACTCACAATAATAGAATAAAACAAAATTTATTATTATTATTGACAAATGAAAAATAGTCGTATTTTATATAAGTAACCGATGAATAAATGTACTCTATAGGTCAAAATGTTACTCGCCTACATCAACTGACATATTATATTGTCCATTGTTCAAGGCGATACGAGTTGCAGCAACCACATCAACAACAATATGAAATTGAGAAGCCCTTTCGAATATCAGGAATTAATTTTAAACTAAATTTACCATTACATACGTGGGGCAGCATCTGTAAAAGCAAGCAGTGTCAAGAAGCTTAGATAAAAATCATTCACCCTATTGTCAATGTCTTAACAATAGCAGCCCTTAAACTCCCTAGACAACTATAAATCCTCTTTTACAAACGCGTTTAGATATTTCGATAAAGAATACGATATGCAGCTGCATTGGCTTTTCACAATGAAAAGTAAAATAGAACCATATCGTAAAAATTAATATTTCTTTCAAAATAATATTACGTGTTTCTGTTTGAGTACTAAACTGAGACTGAAGTTGGTCTTATGTTAATTTTACGATTGGACATGGACACGTAGTCATATAAAAACAAATATTTTGCATTCATTAGATCTACATTACTGATTCCTAACATAGTATGTATCTCCATACTATATGAAACATTTTTTTACACATTATTTACAAGTACAGTAGGTACTCAAAAGGGCGGATATTATATTTGGTATTTTCAAGTATAATTTATTTTAATGAAAATTTGTAAGATAACTGTCAAATTGAAAAAAACAATAATGTTGCATACACGTCATATCCTATAAATAAGTACAGAAGTGTATTTGACCTTACTAGAACCTTTATATTATACATAGCTTTTATTTAAAACAGACACCTATATTTTTAATTTAACTGTTCACTTGTTATATTTTTATTCGAATTTGTCGGTTTTAGATAGATCAATATAGGTATTTCTAAGCATTGATTTATATAATTAATATAATCAGTGATATGAGTATGGCATAGGCACATTGCATTAACATATTACTATTATTGTATTTTCTCTATTTATTCTTATTTTATGGTAATTATAATATTACAAATTATCACATTAGATTTATGTATGTTATCATAAACATACTTTGACTAATAATAAACAACTATATCTAGTTAAATGATGATATATTTTATGTAATTGTTTCTGGTAACTACTGTAAAGCCAATCGATCATTCACTCACAATAATATAACGTATAATTCATTTTTTTTTACTGCAAATATTATCATATTTAATGCATAAGTGATAATCATTTTTCTATCATAAAAAAAACACAAAACCGTAAATCAATCCAGATGTATATTATATAAATAAATTGTAATCATCCTATTTCACCATACTATAATAAATAATTCTCGAATGAACTTTGGTATAAAACTGATACAGACAGTAAAAGAAAAAAATAGCATTAGAAATTGTTATTCTATGAATGTTTCCTGACAAACAGAAATGTTAATCAAATTTTTTTTTTACTCCGTGTAGTGTACATCACAATTTAATATATAGACTAACATTTTCCTTCAGTTTTTAAATAATGAAGGTAAATAGGTACTGAAAAAGTAATGGTAATAGATACATAGGTAACTATAGTCATCCTGAGTTTTTAAATTAAACATAAGCCCTAAGAGCGGTCATACAAGATAATAAATAAACCCTGTCTATTGTCACTATTGGCGATGCTGCTGCAAAATAGCTATATACTGATTATCTTATTGTGAAATTAATATTGTATCTCTTATTTTTATTTTTGATAAAAATACAAAATTTCATGGAGTAATGTCTTACTATTTAGCTTTTTACCAAGTATAATTTATATATAGGTACAGGGTGGGGCTGTGAAATGGGCGATTTTAATATAAAATATTATATTAAAATCGCCCATTTCACTATTTCTTCCTGTACTTGACATAGGTTAGGTTACTAATATCAAGTAGGTACCTAATAAATAATAATATGTAAAATTATTGTATAGGTAATTTGTACCATTTAACTAAATGTTAAAAATATTTAATATTTTAATACCATATACCTAACTAATGAATACATTTATTACTAATTAATCACCAAAATTCAAAATATCATAATATTATCAAAGTGAGTACCTGCTTCGCGTATTATCATAACTCATAAAATATAAAGCAATTATGTTGGCTCTTGAAGAAAAAATACTTTCACTTCAAACTTCATCTAAACTCACTTTTCACTTCGCTTTTCACACTTGTTGATACTCATATATACCTACATATTCCTACATAGATAATAGGTATTTAGATATATTTTACGAGCATCCTAGGTACACGTGGTTTTTTTAACAATATCAGACGGTAGTTCTATTTATTATTGTTGATTACACATTAATTTTGTTCACTTCTATAGGTATTTACCACTCACATGTTAAGTTTGATACTTCAATTATATATGTTTTTTGGCAATAGATGTTATGTTTTTAGTCTGCAGTCGTACAAACATTACTGGGTACTTTCAGTCTTTGCTCATTCGCCAAGCTTATAATATCTACTTCAGTTTTATTTTCACATAAGCAAAAAACGTGTGAATCGTCAATTTCTCAATTTTCGTTTTCTTTTGCACTTTATCATAACTATTAAAAACCATGATTAAAAATGTTTACTTTCTCCACTTCAAATCTAATGTTTAAGTGATTCATCATCGCAAAAATTAGTCAACCGTTACCACTAGGCCGATCGTGTTTTCCGATACTTTCATATAAAAACCGCTTAAATTGTACACCATAAATCCGTGTTCGTCGGATCTAAAAAAAAAAACTAACGGGAAATTAGATATGTACCATAACAGCCAGTACCTACGACGCTAGTTACCGTGTCGCCAAAGACTGCGACGATGATACGACGGTAAACGGTCGACATAAGGATATCGTTTTCAACTAACCGTTTCGGTCTAAGGAACAAGTGATAGAACACTCGAGGGCACACGCATACAGTACACGGTACACCAAAATAAAAAGATAATAATTAAACGAAGTTTTCACGATCAGTTTGGAAGAAAATACGCAATTTATCGGAAGTGGTATTGCCAAAGTTTGCTCCATAGTTTTTCTCGAGCAGCGATAAGAAATTATCGAGGTCTATAGGGCGCCAGCCGGTCTACACCCAATAAAACATCGTAATCGTGACGCCTACACCAGGGGCGGACCCAGAGGGGGGTTTGGGAGGTCAGCTGACCCACAGTTGTTTTCCCAGTTAAATGTGGCCCCTCGAAATGGCAAACTATATAAACATTTTTTTATTTGAAAAAATTATGTACAGTGGTGAATTTAGAGGAGAGGCACGTGCCCCTTGTCAATTTTCTGTCGACAAGTTGTTATGTAACTCCGAGTATCATATAAATGAAACATACAGTTGATAAGGATAATACTACCAACTATTAATTATTACTTATTATAATCATTACTGATAGTGTGTATGTATTATTAATTAAAATTAAAATTATACAATTTATATGTGCCCCCCCTTCAAAATATCGAAGATCTGCTATTATGATATAGGGGTATATCGTATATACAGCTGTGAAGACTGAGTATTGAAGTAAAATAACGCGTACGAAATCGTGTTTAAGCTTATCAACTTATAATGTACGAACCTAAAATTCGATAAACACAAGTTTAAAAATATGTTGGATATAGATATTATATAAGATTTTATGAAGTTGACATAGATGAAATTGATATAGAAGTGGAATACCGTTCATTACATCTAGTTTACCAACAAATGGCAAAACTATTGAAACTGGAGTAACTGGACCTTTAAAATTAAATGATGTATTGAAAATTCATGATATCACGAGACATGGTTTCTTCATATCCAAATTTATATACTTTGTATAAAATTTTTTATACACTATACCAGTGAGCAGTGCAACTGCAGAAAGAAGTTTTAGCGTTCTAAAACTTCTCAAAACATGCCTTAGCTCAACTATGACTGAAGACCGGCTATCAAATTTGACCATATTGAGCATAGAAAGCAACATAGCTCAAACCATTGATTTTGTTAACATAATTAGTACATAATATAGTACATAATTCGCACTAATGAAAAAGCGCAGAAAATGATTGTAATGTTCTAGTTCTTTACTATTATTTTCATGTAGGTATTATTAAATATAAATTTTATTAATGTATTATTTTTGACTTTTCTATTGTATTAGAATTTAGAACCACCTATTCTATATCTCTTGTGAAAATGAAATCAGTCATTGAAAACTAAAATAAAATAAATATAGGTACTGCAAATATACGTATACAAATAAAATAATAAATTTGTATAATTTCTTCTAATGATTTAAATATGTCAGGTAAATTTTTTAACTGAATATAAATTTTAATGCAACAAATAAAATACAAATAAATTAAATATAGCTATTAAAGCTTGTAAGTAAATTTTACAATTTACTTAAAAATATGTGATATAGTTATATTGAACGTTGGTATCAAAATGTGATGTAAATAACTAATAAGGTAAATCGCGAGCCCAGAGTGACTTTGTAATACCTAACTATATAGGTAGTTGGTTGAAGTTTCTACACAGTGGCCTCTCGTAAGTAAGGCAGACCCACAGTTCTAAAATCCTGGGTACGCCACTGGCCTACACACTATCAGTCAACCGCAGAAAACGAAGAGCTATTGTCGAATAAACAAGCACGCGTCGCGGTTTTCGTGAGCCTCGTCCATGACCTAAAGTCCTAAGCCCATATACACTCGCTCAGGGTAATATTATAATAACACAACGATTCGGCGGGTCACGACTAAATGCTATATAGCATTACGATTGTACACGTTCTGACACGCAATAATTATTCTGATCGGTACTCACTGTTGAAGTACAGTATCTTCCTGGTGGAGCCGAGTCTGCGGATGGGCGACTTGAACGCCGACGCGTCCGCCTCGTCGAAGCCGCCGATCAGTTCCTCGGCGCACAGCATCTCGACGATGGACCGAATGGCTATGCCGGGAGGTGACCGTTATATTGTTACGAGACGAGCGGTTGGTAACCGTAGGTAGGTACCGCGGTGTCAAAACTATATAAACGCCGTCGGCACGGAACGACCGCGCTCGTTTACCGACTAGCCACCGCCACAGCTGCAGCTGGCTCGATCGACGTCGTCGTCGTCGGGATGTTCGCGAAACGCATAGCGCGAAAATCCGAGAAAAACACGATTACAGCACCGCGGGCGAGGGCAACAGGTGTGCTGCCGCGGTTAAATAAAAATAATACGGTAACGACAACGAAGAAAATATTAATACGATATTATTATTATAATAACGCAGAAGAAAAGTAAAACGCTTCGTCGTCGTACGACCCCGACGACCACCGGGCTTCTGTGTTGTAGTATGTAATAACAATAATGTACCGCGGCTGCTGTCTCGTTTACCTGCGACTCGTCGTTATGTTGCACCGCACAGATGGACCGAAAAATATCAACTGCCGATCGATTCCGCACACCTGCACACGCGACACGACACACACTGCGAAATATTAAAACGGCGAAGACGACGGAAAAACGATTTAAAAGAAAGAAAAACACGCAACGGACGAAGCGATAAAACCAGTTAACCTGGACGGACGCCGTGCGGGCTCTGCGCCGTCGTCGGTCGTGTCGATGCGTGGTTACCGCGGTGTTGTCGGCGCCGCGGACCGGGCGGGGGGGAGCGGTCCCGCCGTAGTCGTCGTCGGGGAGACTTGGACCGCGCAGCGAACGGAGCAGCGCCATCTGTCGTCGGCGGCCGCGGCGGCGGTTTACCTGCCTCGCTCCGGTTAAAAAACGTTTGTATCATTATTTGTATTAATAATATTATTATTTTAACCCGTCGCGACGAGACGAAATCTCTTTCGGTCGGGTGTTCTTCTCATTATTATTATTACCCGCTCGCGTATTTTATCCGTCGTCGGACCGATACGCAGCGTAGTACCTACCTATACAATGTACGTAATACACTCGAAAATAATTTTAAAAACGCGGCCGAGACCGAAACATTTTCTTTTATTTTACCGTGTAAGTAAGTGTAGGTATAATACGTTATTATTGCGTATCGTTGCAAATCTGGTCCACCACGAGAACAAAACAAATCTCTGGTCCGCGAACGGCGGCGTCCACGCGCGCATTATAATTTTTTTTTTAATACCGAAAAAAACAATACGGTGCAACGGGATCGAAAATAATATATTATAATACACACTGTATAATAGGACCTCGTAAGTAACATAATATAATACGGAACTAAAATATTATAATCGTGCAAAAAGCATCTGGTCCGTATTTCATTGTGGGTACCTCTACTTGGAGAACAACGAGGTTTGACGAGCACGCGTTCATATTAGGTTTTGTACACGCGTAGGTATATATGCCTATTTAAATATTATAATATTATATTGTGTGAAAACAAATCAGTCGACTCGACTTGCGGTGCAAGCGTATATAAAATTCAATTAAAATTGATCCCGGTTTGGTTCTTGATATTATATTATACATAGTTGTAAGTCTTAACGGTAAGCCATACACTTGAAACGGAAAATAAATACCCGTGGAATAAGTAATCCGCTTCAAGTGTATATAACCATAGTAAATATGTATATTATAAATTATAATGGTGTTTGTTCGGAGTATTATAAAATATTTTAAGTATTTTGAACGCATTTAGTTTTTTATGTGTTGAAACGTTATATATTTTAACGCAGCTTCAATCTTTGAAAAACACGAATAAATTACAAATCAAATCGAATAAAATTCTGCCCGTGTAAATAACATTATCTCTATATATATATTATATATAGACAATTTGCAGCCGTTTTACTTTAACCAACCAGCCCCTCCCTCCTCATCCACCCCGCCAGAATACTTGAATACAAATAATAATTATAAACGTCTGTTGTATACTTGTATAATATATATTATTCGGTAAACTAAATTATTCGAATGCACTATATACGATTGTGTTTACATTGGCTGATTGATCAAGGAAAACGAATTTCCATACATCCAGATCCAACAAACGTGAATTTATTTGCAACGTTGCCATAATTTATGGGTATGCTATAATTGTATGAATGTAAAGGAAATGAATTGACAAGTTTTTATTTTTTACAAACAAGTAATTATTATTACTTATAGATAAGTTATCTGTATAATTTAATTATGTTTATATACCTATAAAATAGTTGTCAATATCTTGAATTTAGGTTTTAAATAATAACACTTAGGTACCTATTACATATGAACTAAATACTGAATTTTAATCTTAAATAATAAAGTAACTATTTTTTTTTTATCAACACGATATTACTGGTAGATGACTTTTGCACCACAAATCACACTATGTGTCATTACGGGAGAAAAATACACGATAAAATAACGTTATAATAAACAAAATAATAACCATTGTATAACGCATTACAACATTAGTAATACAAAAGGAAAACAAATTCGGTTTAACAAACTACCTTAAATGAGAATTCTAAGAACAAATATAAAAGAAAAAAAACAAATTCAACTCAATTAAAACATAATTATTATACAGTGAAAACTCTTTATAACGAATCTGAAGGGACCAAGAGATTTCTTTCGTTATAGAGAGTTTTCGTAATAGAGAGGGTTTAAAAAAAACAAAATTTTAATTATTTATGTATAAAGGTACCTATAGGTATATAACCTGTGTAATATTATATATCAAACACATTATTATTTTTACATTATTTTATACATATTTACGTATTATATTAAATTACGTATCATTATTATTATACTACTGTGGTCATGCGTATAATGTTAGACATTACGTCGATAATAAAATGAACATTCAATTTAGACAATAACGATATTAAAAGTAGGTAATGAAAGAATGTAATCGTTCTTGGAAATTTCGGCATTATTGCCGATTATTTTAATAGTTTATAATATATGTAATAGATAATAATACTATAACACGTAAATTGTATTATGAAACATAAAATATTGTTTCGTTATTGAGAGTGACTACTACGTTATAGAGAAAGAATTGACTAATGGGTTATATAGCAAACCAACCATTATTGTGTAACGTTTACGTTATATAGAGTTTTTCGTTGTAAAGAGTTTCGTTATAAAGAGTTTTCACTGTATTTTATAACCTACTGATGTAGGGATATTATATTATTATTATATATTTTATAATGTGCATATTATATAAAACGATAATATGACGTATTAAATTCAAATAATTATTAATAGAACTTAGAGACTTATAGAAAAATAAAAACCAATTAAGTAGTTTATTTGAATATTGAAACATATCACAGAACACTTTTAATCGAAAAAAACAACTTTGTATACATTTAAATATACGTACTGTAAGACAAAAAAAGGGCAAAAGTTAGGTTACGCCTAAGACTTAAGAGTAAGTTTATATTGTAAGTACAATCTACAATAAAGGGATGTCACAATAAGGGTTAAGGTCAGTATAAAAAAAAAAAGGATTCAATTGCAATCAGACTTGGTTTTCTAACCAAGGAGGTTGTAAAAATCAAATGTTAAGTTTTAAACTTGTTTAAGGTAACAAAATCATATTGATATTATTTGGATTGAATTAAATAGGTATCATCTATTGTTGTTACCTGTTCGTGTTATAATAAATTATTATTAATTTATATTATTTATTTACTGTCGTTTAGTGTCGTCGTTTAATTCTATATACAGATGATTTATAATTTATAATGTTTATGTCAAAATATTGTATAAAACGTATTATACTGTAATATATTTATACACAAACATGTACAATTATTACTTATAAGTTATAATACAATACTAACGAACGCACCGTAATTCGTTATTCTTACTCAGCAATGGAATACGGACATCATCAAATTCCAATAATAATTATTTATCTTCAATTATTGAACAACTCAGACTCTTATTATGGTTATTTGTTATATTATGCGGTAGCATAATGTAATAATAAAATAACACGGTTTAAGATTACAACACTTATAGAAGGAAGATTAACATATTTGTGTAATATATAAAATATTATAGGTACGCAAATAGCATTAGGTACCTAATTACAAACCTCACATGATTATCATACGTTTATAAACAGCTACATTCATATAAAGGTACAATAATATAATATGTGATTTATAAGTATTTCTATATATTTACAATCTTTATATATATTATTTTTAATAATGCATATTTTAACCTTCGAACACTTCACTGCTCAAAACTTACTTAAAAAGAAAAATTCACACGCTTTACGGTTGATATTGAAGTTAAAATCTAAATAATACCCCCGCTCATTGGGCTACAGTGAAAACGGCAGCTTTGATTTTTCATCTGTCCTAACCTGGAAAACTAAAGGTCAAGGATCATTCACCTGTAACACCAAACCTATATTTCAAGCCATGAATAGTAATAATTTATACAAAAGTTATGTAAATAAATGTATATAATATTGTCCGCATTAGTTATCAAAATTGTAATATTATTGTCATCGCACTATCATCGTTATAATAGTTAATAGCTTATCCAAACACCGAAATATATTCATAGTTAATTATTATTTATGCATATATCTACATAATAAATTACGTAAATATATTTTCATGAGTTTCAACTCGTTTTTTTTTTTTGATATAGTCACGGCTATTTAAAAAAAAAAACTATACACTCCAACAAATTCATCACAATTAACGAATGAATAATACTAAAATACGTTTAATTTTACTGTGTATATTATAATATTGAATACGTTTGTATGCAAAAATAATGATTAAATCAATTATTAAAATTTGGCCAGCAAAATGTTAGCTGCGTAGTAACTGTGTAAATTTACTCGACAGTAAAATTAATATAGTATAGGTACCTACATTTAGTATTTTAATTTTCTGTCCTTGGGGCTTGACGTTCGATGGACGCATAACTCTTATTCTCAACGACTTAACAATAAA